GGAGAGTTGTTCCTAGCTCGATGGGCCCATGATGCTTCAGGCCATCAGGGCCGAGATGCCACCTATAGATGGGCACGAGACCGAGGGGTGGATATAACCATGGACACTATTTCCCAGGTTATTCATGACTGTGAAACCTGTGCTGCCATTAAACAGGCCAAAAGGTTGAAGCCCCTGTGGTATGGTGGATGCTGGGACAAGTATAGATACAGAGAAGCATGGCAGGTCGATTATATCACATTGCCACAAACCCGCCAAGGTAAACACTATGTGCTTACCATGGTGGAAGCGACTACTGGATGGTTAGAGACATGTTCGGTACCACATGCAACAGCCCGAAATACCATTCTAAGTCTTGAAAAGCAGGTCCTGTGGAGACATGGCACTCCAGACCGAATTGAGTCAAACAACGGAACTCATTTCAAGAATAATCTGGTGGCCACTTGGGCACGGGAGCATGGTATTGAATGGGTATATCACATTCCATATCATGCGCCCGCTGCTGGAAAAGTTGAAAGGTGTAATGGACTGTTAAAAACAACTCTGAAAGCACTAGGTGAGGGTACTTTCAAGAACTGGGACAAGCACTTAACCAAGGCCACCTGGCTGGTTAACACTAGAGGCTCTGTCAATCGAGCTGGTCCTGCCCAAGCAGAATCCCTGCACACTGTAGATGGAGACAAAGTTCCAGCGATCCATCTAAGAGGTATGTTAGGAAAGGCTGTTTGGATTACTCCTTCCTCAGGCCAAGACAAACCCATTCGTGGGATTGTTTTCACTCAAGGGCCCGGAAATACCTGGTGAGTAATGAAAAAAGATGGAGAGATCCACTGCGTGCCCCAAGAAAATTTAACCTTGGAGAAAAACTAATCATGTGCTTTGAGTTGTGTTTTGCAGGAAACCAGTCACCAAATGAGAAAGGCCTGAACAATTGATGCCGGTATCCAGTAATATAACAGCCCAGACCAGAGGAGAAGCCCTGAAAACCAGAACTGTGATTGTGACCTAAGGGCCAAGAATGAGAACCAAGCCAATCCTGATGCTGACATTGATACTTCTACAACAAGATGAATACTCTAAAGAATGAACAAGAACTATATACGAATATGTATATGTGTATATATGCGCGGAATATAAGTGAATGCGAAATATAGGTGTTACGTAAAAATAGTATGGAATAAGGGGTGGAGAATGTGATGGTTTTAGTCTAGGCCTTCCTGGTGACCAGTTTGTAACCAAGGAAGTAGCCAAGTACCCAGTATTCCATACAATTTTTACATAAACCAGAGTATAAATAAGTCGGAGATTAGAGACCTCTCTCTCTTCTCTTCCGGCGGGGTCTGGGAACAGTGGGTCCCTGCGTTGGTCTCGCTTATCTAAGGCTGAGGCCTGCAGAGTCCACCGTCCTACCACGTGGAGGTTTGGAAAGTGCTGGCTGTGACTGCCGATCCTGCTGTTCTAAGGGACATGGTGAGATCTGTTTTGTTAGTTATTAGTATAGTTTGATCTAGTATACCTGTTCGGTGTCCCTTTTGTTCCCTTTTGTCCCCTTTTTTCCCTTTCCCTATCCCTTCGGGGGGTGGACCCCCTTTTACTGTGTATATAGCATCTGAACTGTACATAACTGTAATTTACGTAAATATAGATATATTTTTACATAAGCAGCTTGACTTTGGGTTCTTTAATTTTTATAGTTTCTTTTCCTTTAACCTAAGGGAAGAAAGGAGGGGGGAAGGGGGCTGCTGTCGTAACTTTCGGGCACTTGGCAGGGAGCCAGGTCCAAACCGTCACACCTCCACACTCTCTTCTCAGTGATGGCATTTTAACCAGACCAACCCCTGGGAATAATTTACTTCTCAGTCTTCAATTCTTCTGTGGTTAATTAGACAGATCTCAGAAGTGAATTCAAAGTGAATATATTGTATTACTAAGACCACAAATAAAGATGTCTTTTTTGTGTCCCTCTTGCTTTTTACCTGTTTTTACATTGATATAAGCAATCCCCAGTCGATATTGATCCCAAGCACCTCCTAATTCACTCTGAATAGATATGAAAATCAGGAACCTTTATGTCTGACCATCCATCAGACTTTATCCCCATCCCACCATTACTTCATCCAACTCCTTGGACTCAAAGCAGCCTTGGGCCAATCTGAGCTTCCTCCACTAAAGGCTGGACCTGCAGGTTTCAGCTCCTTGGCACCAACTCCCACCTGCTTGGCTTGGAGAAAGAGCGGCACAAGACAGTGGGTTTCTGTGGCTGGGTTTTGGTAGCAGGGGGGCTACGGGGGTGACTTTTGTTAGAATCTGCCAGAAGCTTCCCCTGTGCCACAGAGCCAATGCCAGCAGCTTCAGGACGTAGTTCTTGCCACTGGCCAAGGCTGAGCCACTTAAAAGTGACAGTAACACCTCTGGAATAACATATTTCAGAAGACAGAAGAGTTGCACAGAAAAAAAATTCAGCCAGGGAAGAGCAGAGTGAGAACATGGGATAACAACACAGACACCAAGGGCAGTGCAGAAGGAGGGGCAGGAGGGACCCCACAGGAGCAGGGGAAGGACTCAGAGCTGAGGCTGCTGCAGCCCATGGGGGAGCATTGGGGTGCAGAGACCCCCCTGCAGCCCATGAAAGAGTAACCCACAGAACAGCAGATTGGGAAGAGCTGCTGTCCGAGGGATGGACTCAACACCTGACTGCAACCCCCTTCCCCATCCCCCTGCAATGCTGGGGGGAGGAGGGAGAGCTGAGAAGGAAGGAGAGGTGGGGGGAAGGTGTTTTTAAGACTCTTTTATTTCTCACTCTTTGGCTTTTATCCCGTTAGGAATAAATTTAAGTACTATCCCTACTCTGAGTCTGTTTTTATCCATTAGTAAGCGACTTTCTCCCCACCCTTATCTCTACTCAGGAATCCTCAGCTGGTTTCTTTCTCTCCTCTGTGGAGTTGCAGAGGAAAGGGGAGGTAGTGGCTTTTAGTGGGTGTTTGAAATGAAATCCAGCCAGGGTCAGCCCACTAAACCAACCCATGTGCTTGAGGGTCCTTTGTGATGTCACAGCCTACCCTCTCCGTTCCAGAATAGCCCTTGGCAACCAAAGAACCAACACCCCACAAGGTCAGAATGCAGCCCCACCCATGTGCCCCTTTATGATGGCCCAGCCCATCCTCTCCATTCTGGAATAGCCCCTGGAAACCAAAGAACCAACACCCTACACCCCCAAAGGGAAGCCCCACCT